ATAAACTTTCTCGAATTTATTTATAACTGGCATGTTATACTCTTTTTGCGTAGAAAAAAATAGTACTGCTCGCCAATTTTACGTTGGGACAATAAAATAGCTATGAATGTATATGACCATAAACCCAGCCAATTAGACAGTACCACATTTAGGTGGAACTTTACAGGTGAAGTGCTCGAGTGGTCTAAGAGGCAGGATTTAGGCTCCTGTGGTTAGTTCCGCGTGGGTTCGAACCCCACCTTCATCAATTTTTATTACGACTTGCCTTAGTGAAAGGTGCGCCTAATAAGCGTACTTTTTATTTTTGCAAATTAAAAAGTTTGAATGCAGCCGTTGTTGCCCCCACAACGTGCTGCTTTTTTATTTTCATTTAGATAGCAAAAATATCAACCCCCAAAAAAACTGCTTGTTAAAAAACAAAAAGTAAGTTCCGCAACGGGGAATTGAACCCCGGCCACGACGGTGAGAGCGTCGGATCCTAGCCACTAGACCATTGCGGATTTTAATGCTAATCAAAGACTAACACAGCTACTTCTGACTACTTCTCTGTAAAGACAGTAGACAATATAAAACCCCAAAAATTTCAAGAATATTTTGCGTGGAAAATATATACACTGCTTTTGTTGGCTATAATTGCTGTATCACCACAACAATGTATTGTTATATTTATAAATTTTGTTTAAACTGTGTTGAACAAGCTGACCTCAGCTGCACGTCTCCGTGTGAGTCCCAGTAGCCTCTGTCCAGCGGCATAATCCCACCTGGGCAGCTCCTCAGCGATGACCCTCCAAGGATCCTCCCCCCTCTTTAGTCTCCAAATCAAGCGTGAATTCCTCAGACTTTCGGTGCCCACATTATATATCCACGAAATAAGTGCGCCTCTCTGATTTCCATTTAATTTAATTTTATTTGTCCCAAGGCCCTGTCCAGGACATCAGCGTAAGAGACTATGTCGGTGAGGAGGAGCTGCTCGGCAGATTGCTTGGTTAGTGGTAGGGGGAGGCGGATTTCGCGGCAGTTTGGTTCGATGCATTGGTGGCCGTAGCCTATTGTTGGGACACCGACAGGATCGGGGAATGGGAAGGCATTGAATCCTTCGCTGAATTTTATTAAGTCGAGAGTCGCCTGATTGACACACCTAATTGTGGTGGTGGCAGTGGTAGTGGTGATAACTGACAGTGTGAAAAATAATAATGATTTGGTCATTAGCCTTGCGTATTTAAATTATTGAAGCAAAGTATGGTAATATTAAAAGCGCGTTCATATAATATAGAGGTTTTCGAATTTCTTTAACAGGGTATGCTTGTTTGATGCTGATGCCGCTGGTAATTATTTTATTTACGTAATTGTTTATTTCTTTGGGTCTAAAATAGAAATAGGGAAGCATTTTTCATTTTTGAGAAAATGATGGCAGAGTGAGCGTAAAAATAGCACATTCTTTGTTACTGTGATTGCGGGTGATGACGCTGGAAATGGTGTGGAAAAACAGAGTGTATGAGGTAATGATTATAATTGAAACCAAGGTTGAATTACACTTTATTTTGCCTTTAATTGTTGTAAATAGATATAAGAGCATGTGGCTTGACCTTGCCATAAATTAATGATGGCAGAGTTTGCGCAATACTTGGACGCATTGCACATATCGTCACTGCATATTACGACATTTATTCAACCATTGCTAGCCACCATGATTCATAAAAAAAGTATAAAAGCAGCGGTATCTGGCCACATAATTAGTAAAAATTTAAATATCAACAGCAATTTGAAAAAACATATTTCACACAAATCACTCGCAATAATATTATAAATATGGCATTTTTCGGAAGAACCAGAGTTGGAGGCCGTCGCCGTGCGCACCACCAAGCGGGAATCGGCAGACCAGTGTACCCAGCGGGCCATGCCAACCACCATGGCCACCATGCTTACCATGGGCGTCCAGAAAAGGTTGTCATTAGGCAGAAAAGCAATGGATGCTGGCCATTCCTCTGTGGCATGTGCGCCGGCAAGTGCTGCTTTTAGACAACGAATTATTAGCATTATTTATTTTATTTCAACCATTGTAAATTAACTTTGTATATTTTTTACCTTTGAAAAATAAACGATCTAGACTCGGAATATTGTGTTTATTATATTTCATCATTTGTTTGCGCACAAATGATCTCATCGGCACAAACAATGATAAAATAAAATTATAGTTTATGCGCATGATATCAACAAATCCCTGCCAAATCATAGGCTGCCCCAGCAGGGTTTGGCTTTCCGTTGCCCGAATAAACAAAAACCTGGATTGATTTTTGACTCGCTCGTGCCAAATATAAAAAGACCGACAAACTCTCGCATCTACTCTGCCTCCCGCTCTCTCTTTATCTCAACAATAGTCAGTATTATCGCTTTTTTAACAAATACTTCAATTTTACTACTTGTCCCATCAGGCTTCTAATTATGTTTCTAAGAAGACGTGTACCGGGGGGTCGCTATCACCATCACCGCCGCTACTACCACAGACGCGGTCGTCCCGTTGTGGGGACCAGAGGCGGTGGGTGTTGGCCATTCCTCTGCGGCCTTGGTCTCGGAAGCTGCTGTATTTGATCGCATACATATGTTTACTGTGATTAACAGTCGGAATCAACTGGCCGATCCTTCATTTTTCTGTACTTATCTCTTCATCAAATAAAAGCAGTCTCGCGCCCTTTAGCAAAATCCAGCAAAAAATAGTTTTAACGATGTAAGCGTATTGCAATTAAAGCTACATAATAATGCACACCTTTCTTCAGTTAGTTTTCCTGTTCTTGTTAGTTGATCAATCATATGAGGTTTTTTATTGGTTCACACAAGTTCGCTACGTCATGATTTCCGCAACTGCGCCAAGTAACTATTAATAGAGTGCGGAAACGTAAAAGAAAAAATAGTGCAAGGGAAACTATTCCGCAAGCTCTAAAGCTACAAAAAATATATGCACTCGTTCTCGTGACAAAGGCGGGGCGTCCCCCGTGGCCATTTGACTGCGTTTTGTATTGTTGAGCTTCGTTTGCTGATTGGTTGCTTTGGCGTCGTTGAGATTACATACAAACGTCGAAGGAACAATCCAGAAAAAGAGGAGCGCCCGCATCTTTGAGTCTTTTAGTTTTAATTCCACCCTTATCCGCCCCAACTTGTAAAACCCACCGAGCTCAAAAATGGCAGCAGCAGCGACAATGAGGAGTGCCATTGGCATTCATCTGTCCTCTTTTTTACTTTAATTTTTCTTCAACGAAGCATATAAAAGGCGTCCTTTGTCCATGAGCACTTTTAATTCTTCTTTTTCTTCCCTTAGCTTTATTTTTTGCACAAGTTAATTCATCATTTTCTTCTTTTATTAACGATGGTCAACAACCAGTACGCTCCCCCCACTCTGCCCACGCACAGCCAGGCGCCCCAGAACCAGTACTACAACGGCGGCCAGCAGTATCCCCCGCAGCAGTTCAACGACCAGAACCAACAGCAGCCACGGTCTCAGGTTGTCTATGTCCATCAGCCGCAGACCAACACCTCGCAACTCCGGGGCGGAGGAGCCGGTGGTTGCTTTGCCGGTTTGTGTGCTGGTTTCTGCTGCGCCGAATTATGCTGCTAAGTAGCTTTGTCCCTTTCCCCCCATTTTTTATGTACCTTTTATAATGAGTTAAATTATTAATGCAGTCCCGTACAACAACTGAAAAATGAAATACAAGTACAAATTTGCTCACCAGATCCAAGAATATGAGAGTATCAGAATTTGGTTGCTTTTTTAAAATCATTTTCTGGGTCAGATGCACTATGCTTGACAAACAGTGTGTTGTTCAAGGGGCATTGTTTCAGACATGGATATCATCCTAATATCATGACACTATTTGTATCCTTAAATATTTGTCACAGTTTAGGCACATGGTGTTGCATGTTGCCTTACTGAGATTAATTGATTACGCGTGTGGCAATTGAGAAATGAGGATAGGTTTTTATTATAGTTTATTCATGTGCCAAAGAGAGCAGAGCATATAAAGAATGGCTGTCGGGCAGCCAGGAATTGTTCTTGGAAGAAATAAATAACTTTTTTGATCTGTACCCCCTTGCAACATGATTCTTAATTGCTGTTTTCGAACATTCAAGAACAATCAACATAATTATTTTTTTAAACCTATTTCAAATCACCAAAATAAGCGCGCAAAAACACTTTATTTCATTTGGATTATTTGCAGCGACTGCATGCATTGTTCTAGAAACATGTAATCCTTTTTGACAAATAATATATTTATAATATACTGTAAATGGATATCGAGCCAGCAAAATATTGTCGGGACAAATAAGTGTATTGACAGGATATTAAAGTGAAGTCAACACTTAAATAGCACTGTATCTAGGCGTGTATGAGGGAATCTCAGAGATGTACTTGGGCATGGTGGAGGTCAACGTAGTCGAGTATTTGGCGGGGGTGGATGTCGGCATGGTGGAGTACTTATGTGTAGTTGAGGTTGTCTTGGGCTTGGCCGTCGAAGTAGGCTTAATGGTGGAGTACTTATGTGTAGTTGAGGTTGTCTTGGGCTTGATCGTCGAAGTGGGCTTAATGGTGGAGTACTTTGAGCTCAGGGTCGTCTTGGGCTTGGCCGTCAAAGTAGGCTTAATGGTGGAGTACTTATGTGTAGTTGAGGTTGTCTTGGGCTTGATCGTGGAAGTGGGCTTAATGGTGGAGTACTTTGAGCTCAGGGTCGTCTTGGGCTTGGCCGTCAAAGTAGGCTTAATGGTGGAGTACTTTGGGGTGGTTGAGGTTGGCGTGGTGGGGTAAGTCGAAAGTGTGGAGGTAGCTGCAGAAGAGTACTTCATAGGAGTTGAAGATGTCAAGGTGCTATAATCAATCACCACATAGTTAGCCTGAGCAGGGTGGTAGGCAGACAGAATAGCTGTAGCCATGAGTCCAATCGAGAATCTCATCTACAGCCATTGATTTAATGAGCAAATATTTATTTTTCGAAAGTTAGTATTTGTTTACATTATACAATTGCGCCTTTATTTGTTTATTTTCGTATAGTGAATATTCATCTGCACAACATTAGCAGTCAATTATATTTTTCTGTATGCTGACATGCGCGCCAATGACGCCTGTCAAATATGGTGGTAAATTGTTTGCACATACCTTTGGTGAAGAAATAAAAGAAATAGTATTAGAGTAAAATAGAACGGGGTTAATGCTGAGGCAATTGTGCCAGCGGGGATGATAGACAATGGAGTTTTAGGAGGTTATATGTATCAAGAACCCAAAAATTCCAAAACAAATTATTAGGGTGAAATATGGCTATAAAATGTGAGTAATAAGATTCTTTGACTTTTGACTGGAAACATTCGTTCTTTTATATTCTCGACGGACAACTATTTCTTTGCTCATTGCGAAATTTTGCTTAACAATAAAATTCCATAATATCATACTTTTTTGACCATATAATAGAGTAGCAAAAAAGAGACCACCCTTATAAATAACAATAAACTAGCCGGACTTATCCTGGACTTTCACACGTCTGTTCACTGTTACAGGCACAAATTGGCAAATTTGCTATTTTCTTACTGTTATTTTGAGTACAGAAAACAAAAAAAGAAGTGCGTTCCGTATAACATTTCCTGTTTACCCCAACTTTTATTACTTGAAAAAACCGGTCCAATGCAATAAAAGAAAGGCAAAAAACATCCGTCCATCTTTGTAGCCAAAAATGTCTTTCTGTGGGGTTTTAAATTAGCAAAAAGAGATGGGCAGCTTTGCAAAAGGCGACGAGCTGACAGATGCAAGGCGTATAGATTAACATGCGATGATCATGATCACGATAAATGCAATGCCCATTTGATGACCACTTTGAAACATTATTGTATAAAAATTCGCTATTGATCTTTATTTGAAAAAAGATATAAATGAAAAAAGAGAACAAGGGGCATGTGCGGGAAATGCACGCAGAAAGGTGCATGATTGCCGGACTGGCTCAGGTCAATCAATAATTCCCTCACATTGTGATTGACACTATTGCCAAATTTATTTACGATAAATGGTCTGGACAGTCATGTACCCGTGTACATTCCACAGACAAAAAAATGTAAAAATCGAGACTGAGTGACAAATTGAATATAATTTAAACTCCAATTTTTACAAACTGCACACATCTCAGCGATTTGTGAGAGCTACAAAGTCCTGTGGTGACCAACACGTCCGAAAACAGGAGACTAACAGGATAATATCACCAAAGTGCAGTACAGACATTTTTTTAATGTGTGTATAATTTTGCGTGCTGCTGCTATGGCTGAGCTGCTCTTTTTCTTTTGCAATTATCCGCACTTGCATTGTAAAAAAATAAACCATTCGCATGAACAAATTATCCCGCCTAACATAATCTACATGATTAATTCGTGTAATTTTAATAAGGGACTACTTTAAGCTAGGGGGTTACCTGATTTAAGAAAATAAATTTAGCACATATATTTATATATCCTAAACTATTCGAAAAGTTTAGTTATAAATGCAGGCTCATTTGACCTTTTGCATATCAAGACTTCATTATAAACCTTTCATCGCTCTGTTGCATATACTAAATATATGGAAACTTGTTTCACGATTCACAACCTCAACATCCACTTCCATATCTTTAGTCTGTGCAACATCACCTATAATATTGACCATGGTTAACAACAAAACATGTGAACAATCATGCAATTTACACAGGTATACCCAGTGGGACTAGGGTATATCAATGATAAAACTGAGATGTTATTTAGGGCATCAAGGTAAAAGATAATCCAAGTACACAAGTCAATGGTCCAAGCATTGTAATGGTTATGGCATAAGCTGTATATTTTATTATAAATCCTAAATTATATTCAAACTACAACCAGGATATATGCATTGCCATATCTAAATTAAGCTCAGCCAAAAGTGGGTGCCAGAATGGGTGGGAATGTAATGACTGGTATAGTTGTTGAATTATTCAAAGGGGCTGGCAATGTTGGGAGTGCTGAAGTTGTTGAAACTTTAGAAGTAGATGCAAAAGTAGTAGTTGAGGTAATTGCAGTAGGAGCAGATGATCTTGGCGTTTGAATAGCCACACTGGTAGAAGATGAATACCTAGTTAAAGTAATGCTGGTAGTCGATGTGTAGCCAGTCTTAGTAGTTGGCATGTTGCTAGTGCTGGATGAATAGTGGGGAGTGGTCTTTGAGGTCGCCTTGCTGCTGGATGAATAATGAGGAGTGGTCTTTGGAGTCGCCTTGCTGCTGAATGAATAATGAGGAGTGGTCTTTGAGGTCGCCTTGCTGCTGGATGAATAGTGAGGAGTGGTCTTTGGAGTCGCCTTGCTGCTGGATGAATAGTGAGGAGTGGTCTTTGAGGTCGCCTTGCTGCTGGATGAATAGTGAGGAGTGGTCTTTGGAGTCGCCTTGCTGCTGGATGAATAGTGAGGAGTGGTCTTTGAGGTCGCCTTGCTGCTGGATGAATAATGAGGAGTGGTCTTTGGAGTCGCCTTGCTGCTGAATGAATAGTGAGGAGTGGTCTTTGAGGTCGCCTTGCTGCTGAATGAATAATGAGGAGTGGTCTTTGAGGTCGCCTTGCTGCTGAATGAATAATGAGGAGTGGTCTTTGAGGTCGCCTTGCTGCTGGATGAATAATGAGGAGTGGTCTTTGGAGTCGCCTTGCTACTGAATGAATAGTGGGGAGTGGTCTTTGAGGTCGCCTTGCTGCTGGATGAATAGTGAGGAGTGGTCTTTGAGGTCGCCTTGCTGCTGAATGAATAATGAGGAGTGGTCTTTGAGGTCGCCTTGCTGCTGGATGAATAATGAGGAGTGGTCTTTGGAGTCGCCTTGCTACTGAATGAATAGTGGGGAGTGGTCTTTGAGGTCGCCTTGCTGCTGGATGAATAATGAGGAGTGGTCTTTGGAGTCGCCTTGCTACTGAATGAATAGTGGGGAGTGGTCTTTGAGGTCGCCTTGCTGCTGGATGAATAGTGAGGAGTGGTCTTTGAGGTCGCCTTGCTGCTGGATGAATAGTGAGGAGTGGTCTTTGGAGTCGCCTTGCTGCTGGATGAATAGTGAGGAGTGGTCTTTGAGGTCGCCTTGCTGCTGGATGAATAATGAGGAGTGGTCTTTGGAGTCGCCTTGCTGCTGAATGAATAGTGAGGAGTGGTCTTTGAGGTCGCCTTGCTGCTGAATGAATAATGAGGAGTGGTCTTTGAGGTCGCCTTGCTGCTGAATGAATAATGAGGAGTGGTCTTTGAGGTCGCCTTGCTGCTGAATGAATAATGAGGAGTGGTCTTTGAGGTCGCCTTGCTGCTGGATGAATAATGAGGAGTGGTCTTTGGAGTCGCCTTGCTACTGAATGAATAGTGGGGAGTGGTCTTTGAGGTCGCCTTGCTGCTGGATGAATAGTGAGGAGTGGTCTTTGAGGTCGCCTTGCTGCTGGATGAATAGTGAGGAGTGGTCTTTGGAGTCGCCTTGCTGCTGGATGAATAGTGAGGAGTGGTCTTTGAGGTCGCCTTGCTGCTGGATGAATAATGAGGAGTGGTCTTTGGAGTCGCCTTGCTGCTGAATGAATAGTGAGGAGTGGTCTTTGAGGTCGCCTTGCTGCTGAATGAATAATGAGGAGTGGTCTTTGAGGTCGCCTTGCTGCTGAATGAATAATGAGGAGTGGTCTTTGAGGTCGCCTTGCTGCTGGATGAATAATGAGGAGTGGTCTTTGGAGTCGCCTTGCTACTGAATGAATAGTGAGGAGTGGTCTTTGAGGTCGCCTTGCTGCTGAATGAATAGTGAGGAGTGGTCTTTGAGGTCGCCTTGCTGCTGAATGAATAATGAGGAGTGGTCTTTGAGGTCGCCTTGCTGCTGGATGAATAATGAGGAGTGGTCTTTGGAGTCGCCTTGCTGCTGAATGAATAGTGAGGAGTGGTCTTTGAGGTCGCCTTGCTGCTGAATGAATAATGAGGAGTGGTCTTTGGAGTCGCCTTGCTACTGAATGAATAGTGAGGAGTGGTCTTTGAGGTCGCCTTGCTGCTGAATGAATAGTGAGGAGTGGTCTTTGAGGTCGCCTTGCTGCTGAATGAATAATGAGGAGTGGTCTTTGAGGTCGCCTTGCTGCTGGATGAATAATGAGGAGTGGTCTTTGGAGTCGCCTTGCTGCTGAATGAATAGTGAGGAGTGGTCTTTGAGGTCGCCTTGCTGCTGAATGAATAATGAGGAGTGGTCTTTGAGGTCGCCTTGCTGCTGAATGAATAATGAGGAGTGGTCTTTGAGGTCGCCTTGCTGCTGGATGAATAATGAGGAGTGGTCTTTGGAGTCGCCTTGCTACTGAATGAATAGTGGGGAGTGGTCTTTGAGGTCGCCTTGCTGCTGGATGAATAGTGAGGAGTGGTCTTTGGAGTCGCCTTGCTGCTGGATGAATAGTGAGGAGTGGTCTTTGAGGTCGCCTTGCTGCTGGATGAATAATGAGGAGTGGTCTTTGGAGTCGCCTTGCTGCTGAATGAATAGTGAGGAGTGGTCTTTGAGGTCGCCTTGCTGCTGAATGAATAATGAGGAGTGGTCTTTGAGGTCGCCTTGCTGCTGAATGAATAATGAGGAGTGGTCTTTGAGGTCGCCTTGCTGCTGGATGAATAATGAGGAGTGGTCTTTGGAGTCGCCTTGCTACTGAATGAATAGTGAGGAGTGGTCTTTGAGGTCGCCTTGCTGCTGAATGAATAGTGAGGAGTGGTCTTTGAGGTCGCCTTGCTGCTGAATGAATAATGAGGAGTGGTCTTTGAGGTCGCCTTGCTGCTGGATGAATAATGAGGAGTGGTCTTTGGAGTCGCCTTGCTGCTGAATGAATAGTGAGGAGTGGTCTTTGAGGTCGCCTTGCTGCTGAATGAATAATGAGGAGTGGTCTTTGGAGTCGCCTTGCTACTGAATGAATAGTGAGGAGTGGTCTTTGAGGTCGCCTTGCTGCTGAATGAATAGTGAGGAGTGGTCTTTGAGGTCGCCTTGCTGCTGAATGAATAATGAGGAGTGGTCTTTGAGGTCGCCTTGCTGCTGGATGAATAATGAGGAGTGGTCTTTGGAGTCGCCTTGCTGCTGAATGAATAGTGAGGAGTGATCACTGATGTTGCCATGGTGTACTTCATATTAGTAACATACACAGGGCCTGTCCCACTATGTTTCTTGTCTTGTCCATTTTGGCCGACATCCTCATTGCGTCCCTTTCCATGATGGCCATTATCTTGGCCACTATCCCCATTACCATTACCATGACTACTGTTGCTCTTATTGTATTTGTCACCATTGTTATGGCCACTGTCGTTTATACGGCCATTCTTGCCGCCGTCATTGCGATTAACATTATGGCCACCATTTTGGTTTTCATTGCGTAGAACCAGATCTCCAGTGTGTGTATATGCCTCTTCTACACTGGACTCCCCAACAACAATCCCCGGAATAGTTGCAGTGGTATGAGTCACAGAAATAATAATCGCCGCTATAAGCCCGAATGAGACTCTCATCCTACTATATTATAATGTCAAATATTGTTTCTTTTTTGTATTAGTAATTACGCCAACAGAAGCCAAGTATATTTATCAATATTATATCATATATGAGCACAATTTATACAATGTGCAGCTGGTATTTAGCTGCATGTTGGCGGGGACAGTTACGCTGTCGACGCCAGTCAATTGTAAATATATATTGCTTTGCGTGTATCGGCTGCGCAATGTTAACCATTTTATACTTTAAACATACCTTTTAATTAGTGGTAAATATTAGTATTAGAATAAATTAAAAACCTTGTTATGACCGAAGCAATAGCGCTGGCAGATATAAAAATGATTATTGAATTATATTGTCTATGTTGTATATTATAAATGTTTACAAAATTTAAATAAAAAATTGTAAAGATGAGCAACGAATATGATATGTAAAATAAACAATTTTTATTCCAATATTCCAACGAAAACACGCCCTTATATATTTTCGGAGTGGTATATATTTTTTACTTTGTTGGGGTTGTATTCTGCGGTGGAAATGTATCGGCCAATTTCCACTTTTCTTGCATAATTGCACAACAGAAAAATGATGAGATTCTCAAATACAAAACGACACCTCAACCAGTTTTCTTCCTTACATATCCCCAGTCGCTGCAGACACAGAGCGATACGCGGCTTATTTCCCGCTGCCATTTTAAGCAGAGTAAATGAAATCAATAGCTGCAAAATAAAACATTTGCTGTCTACGTTTTTGTATTATTATTCATTCAATTACTTTTGCTTTGTTAGTAATTGACAGGGTTTCAAATTAAACCACAAAATACAAAGTTGTGAAAAAATCAGATTGGAAACGACTTGGGTCAGTAAATAAAAAATAGCTGATATATGTAAGGCATATGGATTAATATGCGATATTCTTGATCACGACAAATGCAATGCCTGTAGGTTCCCATTTTAATTTTTTGTTTAAAATAATTCGTTGTCTTATAATTTTATACCATGTTGCCAAAATTTAAAATATATTGTTTGAAATATGCACAGTAAGCTGATGGTCGACAGCACTTCACGTTTGTAGGTCCAAATGTAGCCGCTGCCTTGCACTTGTTATACTTTTAATATTAACAGGGGTGTGCACAGAACTCATTTATGAGATGTAAATTGATTTATTAATTTACAATTAATATTGTCAGATACTCTCATTCTGAAGATCGACGCAAGTAAAAAGCCTCCTCGTACTATGCATAGACCCAAGGCAATTTTTAGACCCAGTAGTGGCTAAACTTATGAAAATCATTTTTTGCAGTCAATACTCAGTTTTCTGCCTTGTAGTTAAATATCAGTTATTTTTAATCACTCTGTTGCGGCTGATAATGTCGGGGTTTAATTTTTAAAATCTCCCGAGCACAATTTAAAATTCATTGTTATTCGTGAGATCCGGGGACATTGTGCAATGGACAATGACCAACAAATATAGCAATTTTGGGCAATTTAAAATTAAACCATTGTATAATTTTATTGTCATTCCACTTCCCACAGAGCTAACTTGAAAATTTCATCAAAATATTGCAGGTTACAAACCGGAATGTATTCAGCCAAGTGTATACAAATAAACAGCCTGATATTTTAATCATTTAAATTAGTCACAAATCAAGCCTAAATGTGCCGCTGCCATCTAAACATCACCGCTCAATTTTTTTTGGCGCAGTGGACGAAAAACAAACAGTGTATTTTATTTCCTTTAAAGAATATAAGAAATACAACCGCATACTTGCATATGCATATGTATATGTGTATGCAAGGTAGCAGAAAAATGTGCTGAGTGCGTGTCAAAATTTTGTACCTGTCCATCCATATACAGTCAGCTGGCGATAAATGAAAATAAAAAACCCTCGTCGGCTGGGTCAGGGGTAGCACATTTCTAATCATTATCACAAGAAGCACAGCATTTACTGTACAATGGCTGCGCCCAATTTTCAAGTCACTTTTATTGCTCTGAGCATCGTTTTGGGCCGATGAATAAAGAAAAGAAAGGGCATAGAAAAGAGATCACTAGGGCATGGTGCAGCTTGATTATTTATAAGCAAATGAAAACGAGATGGCATTTGGCCTGCATGGTCTTTCCCTTTGTGTGCATCTAACAATTGTGTAATGCGAAGGCAACGAGAAGTGGTCAGTTGCCTATTTAATTGTGCTAAAATCTGTAGTTTGCGATAGCTGAAGCCAACAAAGCGTATTTTGCTGGCAAGTCAAAATGAAAAATACACTTGTCTCCAACCAACACCGGCTTTTTCGTGTAGCTGGGCATAGTTGGCTCAGAGGCATGCACTTGGCTGCATCTCTCTAATTCAAAAAGCCATATGCAAAAATATCCATTTTTAATAAAAGTGATGCCGTGTCCACTTGCGACAATAATGGCCCGGACGAAAAAAAGCGCGTTTGCCCGACGCCGTTTGCACATGAAATTGCAACATTCTTTAGCAGCCAACTCATCATGTGATTGGGACCCATCGATGCAACCAATACCGCGTTGTTGATGCGGCCCTTAAATTTATTTGTAGCAAAAACGGTCAGCCAAAATAATGGATTTTTGGCCCACGTTTCTATTTCTTTGATTCCCATTTGCTTTGCGACGCCATCAATTTTAGCACAAAAATTCAACAATGTCGAATGATCCCGGACGACTGACGCAATCAGACTTTCGCAAGCTTTTGCAGACTCCAGGCGGACCTTCTTCTGGTGCGACAGGCGATGAGGAGCGCGCCGGACGCAGGCGGGCAGGTGTGCTTGGCGGGCGCAAGCAGCTGCACAAGGCCGCAAAACTAACAGCAGAGGCACCAGCGGCCGTGCAACCGACGTCGGCGCCGACCAGAAAGCGCGAACATCGTCCGAACAAAACTGATGACAACGGTCCGACAAACATGTACCGCGACAGAGCAGCCGAGCGCCGGCAGGGCACAGGCGATGTAGAAGAAGATTTGGTGCTCGGTGCCGGTGTGGAGGCCTACGAGAGAAGCAAGTTTCTGGGCGGCGATACCGAGCACACGCATCTAGTCAAGGGCCTTGATTTTCTGCTGCTGGACCGCGTGCGTGCTCAGGGGCCGGCGTCGGCTCAGCTTGACAGCGAGTTGGAACGACTCTTGGAGCAGAATGAAAACCAGCAGGAGCAGAAGCATGACGGTAAAATGGAAGCGGCGGCGACTTATGGTTTGGGCGCTATGACGGCGCTGGGCGAGGGAGTGCTCGGCGTTGTCCAGCGAATGAGTGAGCGGCAGGCTAATGGGCTGGGACTGGTGAAAGCAAACGAGGTGTTTTTGCCTGGGCGAATGTACTTTGAGTTTGATCTGGGAAGCAGCACGACTACAACGCGCATTCGCAGCCAAGAGGAGGTTGCACGAATCGCAGGCAGCAGCGGTTCCGTGGCGACGGCGGCGATTCAGGAGGGCGACCGCGTAGTATTGGCCAAGGTCATTTCGGCGATTGCTGCCTCGCGCCAGCGCAGGCGCGATGCTCGGGAACATCAGCAGGAACTGTTGCAAGAAGAGTTTGAGAACCCAAGTCCAGCACCCGAACCATCTGTGGCTGCTGGGGAAAACCCGAGCATGGCGGAGGATAACAGCGATGACGACATTTTTGCCGAGGCGGGCGTTGACTATCAAGTGACCATCGGTGATATTAGCCATTGTGTGGCAGGTCCAGCGCCAGACAATGATGACGATGATGATGGATACGCTGTGACAGCACCATACCCAGAGTCTGACAGCGAATTTGGAGTGACAGCACCGTACCCAGAGTATGACAGCGAATTTGGCGTTACTGCGCCGTACCCGGGGTTCATAGATGACGATATGGCAGTAGCAGCGCCGTATCCAGACTCGGCAGACAGTGGAGACAAAGAGGAAGGTGTCAATGCACCGTACCCGAAGCCCCCAAGCAACAGCCGGCCGAGCAAGCGGCCACGCACAGGGCTTTCTGCAGAGACTGACAGCGATGGCGAAGCCGACATGCGTCTGTTCTCCGAGGCTCGGCTGCGCTTCAAAGAAGAAACTAGTGACATGCTGCAGCACAACGCGCCCAGTGCTTCTTCCTCTTCTAAGCGCCCAACAAAGGCTTCTTCAACGGGTGTGTCTAACAGCGAGTGGCAGAAGACGCGCAAAATTATGAAGCAAAAATACGGCATTGACATTACCGCGGACAAAAATTCCCCTGAGTAAGGGGAGGCGAAACATTAATGGCGACTTTGCTAATATTTGCACGCTTTGGCCTCAAAATTATTCTAATTCTCGGACACTTATTTCTCACTCGTTACTAATTGGCCGCCTTGCCAACCATTGATTGCGGCTGAGTTTAAGTCAACGCAATAAAATACTCCCAACATATGACGTACCGTGCGTTGTTTTATTATAATTGTACAAATTGGCTGCTAAGACTTGACAATGAGCACAGCGTTCAGTTGCATCCACTTTTCAAGTCTTGGGCATTTTCATTCTTGCCCTCATTGCTGACTGCAATCTTATGTATAATGTGACCACCACATTGTCATGCACTGTTGCTTTTCTATACAATCGATTCATTTCACCTTTGAAACATCGAATCAACAAGATACGTCATAGCATCCCCATGATCTTGTTGATTGCGACAGCAGGCAGGCAGTGCAAGCGCAGCGAATAATCTATTTTAAATAATAAACAGTACATATATTTAACTCATTCTATCCTCGCATGTCATATGTTGATTAGGGCTAATTAGATGGCTGTCATGTGCACAAATGTATCCTTACTACACAACAAAATACTTTACTAATATGTTTTTTGACAACTGTATGGTTGCGGACACTGTTTGAATCACACAAGGAAACGCTGCAGTTAGCTTTTTGGTAGGTGTGTATTTTTTAACTCATTGGCTTTTGGCCCATTTACCTTGGCCATTTAATTTGAAATCGCAGCCGAGAGCCTCCACAGCCAACACAATATATCAGGTGTTGTATCGCAGTGCGCCATGCATTAGATGTTTCGTGTAATATTTTGTTTTATTTTTATTGCTTTTCACACATAATAATGGTCAGTTGAGTGTTCAGGAAATTTATAAATTAAATTTATTTCAACGCCCATCCATCTACCACACACTACTCCATGCCTTTTTAAGTTGTGTTTCGTCGGTTTTTTTGTTTATGGGTTGACTGCTTGGATATATAAAACTGTGCTCCAAATGTTATTGACATGTTCAATTATTCTAATTGCCCATTTTATTTCATTGCAAATATGTCTATTGACTCTTTGGGCAACACGACTTCAGTTAGCTACGTCATTTAGACACATGGGCCATTCTATACCAATAGCAGCCATCCAGCTGTATCTCATGCCAAAGTATTCTCTTTGCCTGTTGTCTCCATTTTTCACCCCAAGAGAGAAGCAGCAGGCAATATATAAAACAATATAAAAAGCCACGATGGGACAATTCTCACATTTTATTTTAAAAATTAATCCTAGCTGCTAATATTATTCCTTCCACCCATTTTTACATTCTATACATTATTTTATTCATTCGTTCGTTCGTTCGTTCGTTCGTTCATCCATCCATCCATCCATCCATCCATCCATCAATTTATAACATCTTTATTTCAGTATGGCTAACCAGACAACCAAGAGTAAAGGCAAGGAATTAAACGCCATAGAGGCAGCCGAATATATCAAAAAAGCCCGGTTTGAAATTCGGATAAGTGTGAACAAAATATTGACAGTCAACCAGGTTTCAGACATTATCAAGAGGAGAATCGATGCCTTTTACACGGAAGCATGGCCAAATATGGAAATACCAAATTGGGAGTTACAACTAGACAATGAATATCTTCGCAAGGCCGATAAAAACAGGCCATTGTCAAAAATATGTTCAGAGCAAAAAGTGCATATACGCATCAACAATGCAAAAACATTTATAATATCGTATTTGAAATAATAATTATGCTCATAACCAAAACCCACGGCTCGCTTGGGCCACAAGGCTAGGGTTGCATAATACTTTTCCATTTATATTGTAAATAAAGTTATATTGCCGCAATTTCCACTTATACTTGGAATTGTTTTAGCAGCAACCAATTTTTCAGTAAAAGGCATGGTAATGGCCAACATCAGGACCGGATTCAGCCGCTTGGCCTCCACTGGATCCAACGAATGTGTGGGTCGGGGCTTGCTCCCATCGGCAGCCCCCAAAGCCACGGTCAGAGCCATCTTGCATGCCTTGCCCTTTTCATCGTGCCGGGCACAAGCTTCACGCGGTACTTGTATGCGGACAGCGCGCTGTACGGCGCACAGACGGGGATGGCCGAGGTTAGGTTGTCTCCAGGTAGCGGGACGGCTGTAAGCATGTCCAAGACGTCGAGCTGCTGGTTTGACGCGGCATCGACTATGTCGTCGTCATCGTCGCTGTCTTTGGGCGCCCCGCTCGTCGCGACTGTCGCTGGATTGTCTGCAACCATGAGCGCAGCCAGCTGGTCAGCTACAGCGTCATCCGACGCAACAGCACCAGCAGCATCTGCCTCATCGAGTTCAGAAGCAGGGCCATCTTTACCGTCATCATCACCACCATTGTCCTCATGTTCAATGATGTTCACTGAAGTAACATCATTTGCCTTGGCGGTATTTTCCAGCTTGGTTTCAAGAATGACACCAAGCTGCGCTTGCCACTGGTAGCCGAAAGCACCATCTTCTGCTTGCGCTCGTCGTCATCCTGATCGGCATACTTTTCCTTCACCTTTCGCATCCAGCCCTTCCTCCCACGCTTCTGCTGCTGTTGCTGCTGTCATAGCTCTCGGTCCAGTTTGGCTGATCGTCGAGCTTGATGGTGGCCTTGTTGACAGCCATCATGTGCTGAGAATGTCGGGGTATTTTAGCAAAAAGCTTGCCGAATGTGTTTCCTCGGCTAAAATTGAAAAAAGTATTTAAAAAAACGTAAAAAGACAAACAGAAAAGAGAAAAATAAAAGAGGCAAAGGCAATAATTTCTTTTTGCATAGTTCTGTGCACGTGTAATGTGCCTTGGTATCCTATTACTTGATGACACACGTTGCAAGGATAAATAGAATAAATAATAAATTTATCGCAGCAGATATGGATTATTAGGCTGTTTAAGCCAAGCGCTGCTCTTTTATCTACACTTTTTTCTCGCACTTAAACTACGCTCTTCAGCCAACACATCGCAACTCTATACAATACAACCAACACCAAGCACCCACATTTTCACGATATGAAGGCGCCGATAGCAGACACGCTGCCGCTTGACAACGCGGAAAAAGAGGAGCAGTACGTGCATGCAGTGTACAACGAGATAGCCACGCATTTCAGCGATACGCGATTCAAGCCATGGCCTGTTATTGACAAATACATACGCAGCCTTCCCTCCGGCAGCGTGGGCGCCGACATTGGCTGCGGCAATGGTAAGTATCTGGGTGTACGTACCGGCGACATATTCATGATGGGCACGGATCGCAGCGAGTCGCTGGTGGAGATTTGTCGCGAGCGCAGATACGAATGCATGGTCAGCGATGGCCTTGATCTGCCATACAGAAATGGAGCGTTTGATTTTGCCATATCCATCGCCGTCATCCATCATTTCTCGTCGGTTGACCGGCGCGTGCAGGCCGCCAGAGAGCTGCTGCGTATTGTTTGGCCAGGCGGTACAGTTCTGGTTTTTGCTTGGGCGCTGGAGCAGAGTGGACGCCGGAAATTCGATCCGAACACGCAGGATGTGCTTGTGCCGTGGGTTGTGCCTGGATTTCGCGGTGCCAAGGGTGCTGATGACAATGCTGGCGACAGCGTGGAAGACCAAAGGGACAAGGTGTACCACCGCTACTACCACTTGTTTCGCAAGGGGGAGCTGGTGGCCCTCTTCGAGCAGGCCGGCGGATGCAGCATTGTCGAGTCTGGGTACGACAGGGACAACTGGTACGTCATTGTGCGCAAGGGGCACGAGTAGCTGTGTTCCTTTACTCTCTTTGTCTTCTCAGGTGCAGTGCAGTGCAGCCATAACATATAGACCGATATTATGCTCGAACAAGTATCTTAATAAAAGTGAACAAACTATTTAAAAAGCTAGATGGCAACTGATTTGCAGCCGCTACGCTTGGACGACGACGACGACGGAAATGTTTTTGCCGTCGTATCACTCTTTGAAGTGGGAGTAGTGGATGATGCGTTTCCTGGCTTAGGTGTGTTCTGGCCCGACTAGAGGCTGCCGAGTGCGTGTTGTGATACAAGAAATTGCGGCTTGTCTCCGGCGCTTGATTAATGAACCAATCACTAGTTAATTCCCTACTTGGATATGCCGGAATTCATACGCACGCATAAATACTAATGAATATGAACAGTAGAGGCTGTTCATCCCTTGGCTTTCTTTTAGTTTATTTTGTTCAAATATATATTTTTAAAATAACAATAAGCATGTGCAAAATGTGAACTAGGATTGTCCGAGTAAGTGTTTTGTTGAAAGCCCGTTGTGAATTTTCCAACACATTGTAAAGAATGCGACTAAACTGGCAAAGGTACTTAAAAATGACAAGCTCAAAATGGCATTTGTCTTTTAAAAATAGAAACTGCCATGCATCTAATAAAATCGTATTTTAACATGCAAATTTTGAACACATTAAGCCTGTTTTAAATGAATTATTTGCAGCGCCATTGTTGAACTAGTATTTTAAACCGAGCAGTTCTGCAAACTTGCAATTATATTTTATTAGCTGGTCGCGATCAACTGATTAGCCAGCCTTGGTTATTTAGCCAGGCAAACACTCAATTGATAGTCATACAGAGACACACATTACATAAATGTACTGTCGCACTCCATCAATGAATAGCGCTTTTAGAATACATAATTAGATATACATAGTGTTTATCTCTTCACGTTCACCAAACATTCATAGAACTCCCAGATTCCAACAAAAAAAGCTGAAATTAATGAATAAAATTGATTTTCTACTGCCCCACCATACCCAGCTTGAACCCTATTTTAGAACCTGGCTACATGCCTCTGGTTACCCAGGCCTGTGTCTAATTTTCTGGCGGTGGAAGTGTCTGCCGAGGTGTCAGTAAAATTAAACCCAAGCACTCGATCTACCAACTAAGGCATCAATCGTGGCCATATAGCTAGTGTGCATATATCCTGCCTTCATTGCTATCGTCTGCAGCCACTTTGGCAAGCCATCATCATCTTTGTCATGGATTTGGTATTCAGGATGTTTGTTGAGATTGGAGTTCTTATCAACAATCGGCATTTATTAGGCGTCAAGAATACCCTCATTTCTCGTTCGACGTGAAAGCTCACACTGTCTCTTGTATCAGCCCTGCTGATTATGTACAATCTCATTTACAAACACTATTGCTTGTTTTTGCGTGATTCCCTTGAATTTTCTTGACCAGCGTTGTGTACCTGTACTCTGTCAGCTCCTTCCAGCCGCATCTCATGCCCAGGTCCAGCTTCTTGTCCTGGTAATGGGCGTCCACATGTATCTCGAGTTTCTCTAATATGCCATTTATCGGTGCCGGGTACACCTGCAGTTTGTTAACCATTTCAGCCAAGTGATCTCATGAATGGGTCTTAAAGATCCAAGTGAAAGTTCTCTTGCATTCAGAATTTTATGCTCCCGTCATGGACACATGAAACATGTGGCTCTGTGTCTCAATTGGTCGACAGCCAGGCGATGGTGCATAAATGCATCTCTGGTTCAGTGTATGCGTCAGGGAAGCATATTTTTTACAGCAGTGAATGGCAGAGCAACCATGCTCCCAAAAGAAATAATATAAACTCAGAATCAATGCGCAAGGAAAAAGAATAATGCCGATTGGAAATTAATCCGTAAATATAATTATTTCTTGTTTCCATATTTCAGCCAACCAAATCCAAGCATGAGAAGCTCAAGGTTTTTTGTTTATATTAAAAAGTTTGTTTTTTGTTTTTGGCGCAATCCATCGCAACAATTTTCACCTTTGCAACTTTCCACCTTTGCTTCTACTTTTAATATTTACTTTTTCTCAATTCGCACCATTTCGTTCAATTTGTTTTTTCTTCACTTTTTATTACTTTTACCATACCTCAGTGCTTATCACACATACTTCATTCACCACTCACCCACTCACACACACTCTCTCCCCCTCCCCCCTCCTTTCTCTTTCCCTTTCCCTTTCTCTCAATGATGTCTGAGCTAGCTCCTCCGAATAAGACCCCGCCGAATCAAATAGGCGTAAGTACTTCAATATAAACGGATTGTTATGATATCGATGAATTATTTGTTGTTGTTTATTTGTGTGCATATAAAACTAATTCGGTCACTAATTTCAAACATTTTGTTTTATTTTTTATTAGAACAGCAAGACAGGCGGCACTTTCCAAACGCCCCAGAAAATTCAAAAAAGGAGGAACTGCCACCTGGGGAATCAGAGCCTCCCGAAGTACGCGATAAGCGCCGTCAGCGGCTGCTGAAATGCCTCGGCGATAACATAACCACAACTATCTATTCAATGCCTTTATCAATCGCTGGGTGTGAAGGAGCGGTATAAACGGTTCATCAAGGATTGGCCTAAGCTCTTCCTCAGCATAGCCAGGGGGTCGCCAGTGGCTGATAGCAAGGCATCGTAGCCAATACAGATCGCCTGTTGAAGAGTTCGGCGATTTCCCATTGCTGACGTGTTCAAAAGCAACTCGGGAAATTGATCGGGTTGACTAAGGAAGCTCGCTTGGTCAAATATTTTATCCTCCTCTTTAACGCGATGGTCAATGCAGTTAATGTCGCAAATGAAGATATTCCAGCAGGCGGAACTCCAATCCCAGACTGCAGGTTAGTCTGAAGGACCATCAGAGTGATGCTATACTAGACTCCACACAAGCCAGATATCGCGTTTTATCACAACTACAAGAGAACGCTCATTCCATCCATGCTATACTCGAGGCCAAGATGGATCCAAACCCATTAGAACCCAGAGGATACTTGTGGCCAGCTCGCAGATTACGGCCATGTGCTTAATGATCAGCAGGCAACCCGCACATTTGCGCCTGTCTTCTACCTCCATGGACACCTCCTGACGCTTCATGCATATTATCGTGACAATCTGTATATCATTGAGCTCGGCCAGCTATGCTTTGATACGAATTATTGGACGTCTGATGGAGCTAAAGAATTCAGAATGCCTCATGCAGTTCTGGTTCCTGCTGACTCTTGAGTCGGACATTTTCGGGCATTTCTGCGATGTCTCAGAGGAATCTGACTCTTTCATTTTTTCGCCAGGGCAAGCCGATGTGCAGGAAGGACAAGGCATTGAAGATCGAAGTCTTATACTCGGTATCCAGGGATGTCAGAGGAGGATGTCAAGGGATGTTCAAGGATGCGCTGCTCTATTTTGTATCAGGGAGACAGTAGCGCGTTATTCATACATGATTGGGCGCCATGTCCATTTATTCGGGGGAATTCAATGGAAGCATGATGCTGTGCTGAAGCTTTCCTGGACCCCAGTCAATCGTTTGCCCGAGGGTGCCGCATACGCCATCCTCAACAAGAGACCAGTCGAATGTATTCCAAGATCTTTTCAAGTGGCCTGCTGATCAGCAACCTCAATGGATACCGGCTGGAGTTTGTGCTCATGGAGTACTGCGGCCAGTCAATGGCCGAGTATCTGAAAGTCAAGACTGACAATCAGAAGGCTGAGCTGGTTCCTGGCTTTGTCAAGCAGCTGACCCTGTGCCTTGCCCAGGCAAATGACACTGGTGTCCTGCACAGGGACATCTCAGCAGGGAATGTGTGCGTCAAGAACGACAAGGTGTATGTCATTGACTGGGGCTGTGCCAAGGTCATTGGCTGGGGCACTGCTGAGGATGCTGCCA